AATTAACTTAAATGATTTTAGCAAATGGCTGCAATATAACAAAGAGTGAAAAATTTAAGGGGGTCTGAATACTTTCCGTACCCACTGTAATAGGCATACATAAATCCCGTAGCAGAACCAGGCAGGTGGAGCTGGGGGAGGTGGGGGATTCAGAGGAACCCGCTGCAGGACCAGCTTACAGCGAACAACTGAATCAGTGTTTAACCAATGTTGTGCAAGCAACCTTATTGGCTGCTGAGTCAGCAGAGGCCAATCAGCTTGTGCCGTGTAGTAAATGATGTTATCGCTAGCAGATTGCATGTAAAGGATCTATAAGTTCTGAGTCTTGTTTTGTAGAATTGCTCTTAGCTTTAGCTGTAAAACATTGTAATTTATTTTTCAGTGGTGCTTGTGAAAGTCTCCAGATATCATTAATGATTTAGCTGCTCTGTCACGTTCACATTCCTGCTGAAACAGCAACTTCATTTGTTTGTTAATTGTTGAAATTGAAAATGTGGCCTAAAACAAAAAAACAAAAAACAAAACAATATTTACTAGTAAATATAAACACTAAGCCATGGCAAAGTCCAATATATGGATTGATTCAGGCTTGCTTTTTTGGTTCGTATTGCCCCTCAGTCCTTTAAAGCTTTGTACTTCAGGGCTTACAAGCCCCATAACAGACAATAAAGACAATGACTGTGCAACACATCTTTGTGCTGGTGAGCTTATTTTAAGGTGGTTTCCAGTAAAAAAAAGTAAGAAGAAGAAGAACTTATACTCTTCATAGTTAACTGTTATACACTCTACTCATTATTTTTGGTGAATTGCTTTTGTGGGGATAGTTCATCAAAAAAGTTTAATTCTTCATCATTTTTTTAACATCATGAATCCAAGAGATATTTTAACATGCAATTTACAATTTATACACTGCAAAACATCCAACTTAAATTTGGCCAAACAAACTTTTCAAGTTTGAGAAAACTGTCTAATGTAGAAAAAGTTGAAATTACATAAATTAGTTTGATCACTGATCCATAACTGTATTTGTTTTTGATTGTCAGTTATTGTTTTCTTCTTCAATTTCAGAATATGTAACTTATTTTAGTGCATAGAGATAACTCTACAACCTTAGACATTTGCTTGAATAATAGACAAATTTAAGTTGTTTTGTGTAAAGTCTGCCAAAATAATGTTTTATATCAGTAATGCGCAATATTAATATTCAGTTTCAAATGCAAGCTTATTTGTATCACTTACTTTTGAGTTTATAAAGCTTATTGTGTTATATTCACTTAGAAACTCAGACCAAAGCTGACTGCCTTATCTATTATTTTATCAACTTATGATCCCCCCCAGTGTTCTTGTTTAATCATATTATCCATACAAAGACCTCATCTTTTAATATTTGTATTTGCTAAAATAATGTATTTTTTATTATGTATTTCACTTTAATTCATTTGTCTTACTAAGTGCTTTCCATTAGCATAATGTTGTGTAAAGTGTAAGGTTGCAGTTTCTTCTGGTACCAGGGAGAGTTTGTCTCTGCTAGAGTGTCTGTAGTATCTTCAGCAATTCATTGTTTCGTATGTGCTATAAATGGTGTGTTTTGAGTTTGTGTTCTCCACATTGAATCAGATATTATCATCAAAACCTTCAATATGATCGAAATCCCCCACTATCAAACCTTTACTATTATGATGTGTTAATATCACAGAAAGGAGGGAGCATTTTCATTTCCAAAGTGAACTGCACCAACTGCCCTTAGACTGGCATCTCTGCTGAATTTCCCACATTGAAGTCGTTATCTTCCTCTAACAGACTGAGAGGCCCTGAAAATCTCAGCTGACTTTTCTCTATAGAGGCCAGTCACTCGCTGCCAAGCCTGTCTTCATTTACATTCCATTTGCATAGGTGGCCCATCAATTAAAAAAAAGCAGGATTTGAATAAATAATTTCCGTTATCGCCCGCTGTAACCGGGAAAGTCTAAATTGAGGTGAGAGAACACTCTATTTCCTCCGAGCCCTTTAGAAGGTAATCTTCAGGGAATTCAAATATGTTTCTTGAAGGTTAAAGAGTGAATGCTGGAGGTTATTATATGCTTGGCTGTGTCTTCATTGCAGTGCAGCATATAGGATGGCAGTGACAGGACAAATTGAGCCACTTCCATCTGTTTCAACCTATCAGGGTTTCATTTCATTTTAAGAGTTAAACATCAGATAGAGGCCAGTATTTACACAAGATGTCAGATGATATGTAAACAGGAAATGACATCAACCAAAGTAAAGAATAAGCCGTGGTCACACTAGACTTTAAGCATGAAAAATTTCTTTGGACGCTCTGCAGAGTATTTTTAATAACAGAAATTCAACACATAACAACTAAAAATTCAAAATGTAAAAACGAACAGTCCTTTAGAACGCAGTGAAATGTGAAAGTTCTTCACATGAGCTTGCGTTTCCGTTCTCCCACATTTGCATGGATATGAATGTAATCACTGGATTGAAAAGTATGGTGTGACCGCCCCTTTAAATTTAACTTGTCTTAAAGATACAGTTCACATTAACTCTTTCCCCACCACTGACGGAATTTTTGGTAGGGGGCGCTAGTATACATCTTCTGAAAGAGTATTGAATCCCTGGATCAAACTAGGGCAAAGCAAAAGCAGAAACAAGCAATATGTAAAATAAAGTGACCATCCAACATTAAACAGCATATAAATTAAAACGGCCTAACGTTACCAAATGAAATGCTGACCCAGGAAGTGGAGACTATGCAAGCTTTGGGGGTGTTGATGGAAGCGATGTACTCCATCTATGTTTTAGCATTGTTCTGAATTCGATCTAGGCATAGTCATTGAAAAAAATGTGATTGTCTCAGCTTTTTTTTGAAATTTTTTTTTAAACTTACCCTAGCTAGAATTATTTATTTATTTACTTATTTACTTACTTACTTATTTATAAGCAGAGGCTCTATTCTTACATTTGACATGTTCGTGTTCAGACATTCATAAAACTATATATTCTGGGGGCCACAATTTTGTACAAATGTTACCTGCTGGCGGTGACTGGCAACTTTAAAAAAATAAAAATAAAAACTCTGGTGGGGAAAGAGTTAATAGGCATGTGCATCTGTTGGGGAAAGATTTAAGTGATTCTTGAGTAAACTAGGCTATTCTGGAAATTATATATGTTAAAACGTAAACATTTATGTAATACTGCCCATGCATATTGAATAATAATTTTAACATAACATTTTGATTATTGCATTTATTTTCCATAATATCATTATGGAAAATAAACAAAATAAACAGAATTACATAAAATTGGTATACTATGCCTTTAGGACAACTTATTTAAAGGTCACATATTTTACACCTTTCTGGAGTTTTATTTTAGGTTTTGATGTCCTTAAGAATATATATTTGCGGTATAAGTACCAAAAACCATCTCAATATATTTTTACAGCTCCTCTCTCAGGAGCTCTGCTGAGAACAGGTCGATTTTGGCCTGTCTAATTAATATTCATGAGCCTCTCTTCTGATTGGCCTGTTGTTTTCTGAGTGACGCATGGCCAGGCCAACCACAGGTAACTAGGGTCAGCGACGTCACAGCGCTAGCTGGAGGCAGCAAACAAAGGGGAAACTGGAGGCGGCCCATTCAAACCAGCGCAGATTCGGCTACATAAGGAGCTTAAAATATCATCTTGTTGTGATGTTGGGTGCCAGAATCGACGTAATACAGCCTCAAATTAGAAATTTGATCACATATCTGCTGCCACTGCCAGAATAAAAGCCGACGACAGCTGTGGTTAAACGCGATACAACGAGCGGACTGGACAGAAACGATCGTCAAAAATGCTCGCGTTTGCAGCGCACACTTCTTATAAGAAAATGTTCAATAAAGTATTGTCTTTTGTTGTTATGGGCGCGTCTACAGATTTCTTGCCATATGTCTGTTTCTTGCGTATGAAATAATGTCTGTGTGCATGTGTGTAAAACAACAAACTGACGATTTATATATTATCATTTGTAATTGTATATACATTGTTGTGATTAATTGTGGCTGGAACAATAATGTAGCTGTAAAAATAGTTGCCTGTTGAAATTGAAATGTATATACATCTTCATCATGACTAGATAGACACGGTGAGTTTGTCTTTACTATACACGTTAGATGTGATCCACCTCAGTAACAATCCTGTCAGATCGTCCATCCTTTTATTGAGAGTGTAACGTTACAGGTCGGCCAATCTTGTCTGGGGGTTTGGCAAAAGGAGAGTGGGACTGTGGGCGGTGCTCGGGGTGGTGACTGAAGGCGGTGACTGTGTAGTTCTGACGTCAACTTTTTACGGAAGTCACAACGGTTCGTGAAAAATCACAGCTACTTTATGCAGGCTGTGTGCATTTTACTGTGGACTGACTGTTTTGAAACTTATATGGTAGTTAAATAGCCCCTAGACCTCAGTTATCATGAAAAAAGCCAGGAAATTTCAGTTTTGACAATATGGGACCTTTAAAGCTCCATTATACATTTCGAGCATTTCATTTCACAGTTCTGTCTGTTAATGTCTGTGCTGTATTTATGATCATTAACACTGACAGAGGAATCATGTCTCTCTCTAACCTGTATGTGATGTGTGTGCGTTGCCACTTCTGTCCAGTTAGTGCATAGCGCTTCTTCCTGCGGGATCCAGATATGCCGCCAAGCAGGTCTGGTACCCCACATCTGGGTTTCTTCATCCAGCTAGAGGAGAAAAAAAGAGCAAAGGGAGGAGGCGAGAGGTCATTTCTGACCTTCATCACATTAAAAACTAGGTTAGCTAACATTGCTGCTTTAAGGCATAACTATAAAAGTGTTTGAATGGATTTAAAAATAACTGCGTTCATTCATCAGAATACTCATTAGACTTTTAAAATGAATCAGTATTCTTGTGTTTACTATATTGTTGTATATTCTGAAATACTTGAAGTCACTGGATTACAGTTCTGAAGATACATAAAAAACAAAAATGCACAAAAACATATATCACAGACATTCAGCACCAAATTATAGTCATCAAAATCACAGTATCCAGTGTCATGAAAAATTGCTTTTGAAACCCGCTGTTCTATTTTACTGCAAGTTACATAATGCCATAATTACAGTTTACGTTAATTAGCATTTACAAACCCGCTAACACAAGATGTTTAGATAAAAGATAATATATGTATTTATGTCACTGAATGTGAAAATCAGTGCCTCATCTTAACTTGTCATCAATAAACCATAACATGAAGACACAAACGGAATAAAAAGAACTGTTTAAAGTCAGAATAAAATGGACTGCAAGATCAAGCAGAGAGTGCTCATGCTTCATAACATAGTGCAGTCCTCTTTGAAAAACTTACACAAGCAGTAGAAAACATTTTAGATTGGAAAATGGCTTATGGTGTCCAAGCTAAACATCAGAGACCAGGGTTGAAACGTTCAGTCCAAAGAAAAGGTGATTAATTTGAATCAAACATGAAATTCTTTAATTGATGACTCGTTTCTAGGAAACTGTGTCATTTGTGTCCCATTTTTGTCAACATTATTTACTACTGATATAATTACCATGGAAAATAGATACTTATATTTATTTATATTATTATATTATATTGGTTGATAGAGCTTATGTTTTATTGAAATTTTGTAAAGCCTGCCAATTTGTATGTCCTTGTTCATCACCATTACAGTTCAATGGGTTACATTAAAAAAAAATAAAACTATACTGCAATTAAAATAACATGGTTTCAATGTTTCATTCTTTGTTCCTGGCATAATGTCACAGGGAGTGACATCAAAGGTTTTTTTTTTACTAAATGTCATTATGTACGTCATAATGTATGTCATTATGTTTACTCATGTGGTGTGATGATAAGACAATGTCTAGCCATTTTTGGATTGACCTTCATCTTAGTAACTCAACCCTGCAACATTTGGAATGTTACAGGGTCAAGTAGCTTTTGCACAAAACATGTAACAATAAAAGTACAATTGGCATTTTGCAATGCCATTTTCATACACAAACGGCAGAGTTTTATGAGAATGGGCCTGATATGTTGTAGTAAGTATATACAGTGTATATGTGCACTTGATGTGTGACTTTACTGTTTGTGTGCTTAGGAGTACTTACTCTATTGTCTCCTTGTCTAGACTCCCTGTGATGTTTAGTCCATACTTGTGCTGCATGGCAGCAATAGCAGAATGCATGGTTTGGGCTGATCGCAGGACAGCCATGTTAGGCTGGGTCTTGTGGAGGTAGCCATATCTCTGTAACCACGCCTGCAAAAGACAGAACAAATGTAACCTGACAACATGTCCTCAGCTAAACCCCAAGGCTCAGCTGTAGCCTGAACAACAAAACAAAGAATAAGAAGCTAAACATGCCCTCACAAGGCATGGAAAGAAGCCTACACGTTTTCAATTTATCCTGGTTCTCAGATGGTTTTGTTCTCAAGCCGAGATTGTATATTGGACATTGAATGGTAACCCAACATGATACCAAGATTGTTTGGCATACAAAAGTAACAAAAATGTTGATATAATCAAACGTTGCAATTGATTAACATGAACCAGGCCCAACAGTATATGCAAATAACTGACATGATTATAGTTTATTAAGAATATTAACAATATTGTATATGCATAAACAGCAGCAGAAGTGTGATTCACCATGCAAACACATAGGACAAACACTGGGCTAAATATTATAGTTGTATTAGCCATATCCTTGTATCTAAAAGTGTGCACTTGTAGTGTACTTCAAACATTAAAAGTATATTTTAAAAAATTGTACTTAAACTATTGTATTGTACTAAAAATATATAATATTAATGAAATAAAAGGCCTCTTAAGTGGTCTTAAAGAGAGTGCCCTTTCATGACTATGTTTTTTGTTACAATTAAATTTAATATATTATAAACTTCACCATTACAAATGTGTAATTACAAATATATTTAAATACATGACATATAGTTTCAGTAGAAATTAGTTTATTTTAGTTTACCATAAATGCTTGTCAGTGCATTTGACAGTACACTTTAGCCATATGAAGACAATAGATGTAATTATGAAATTACTTAAGAAGATGAACTTAAGTCCTTCCATAAGTTGGTCACAACCCACTTAAATTCAATTAAATGAATTGAATCTAAATTTACACTTTAATATATTAAAGGTAGCCTATACCTTTTTGTTTAATCATAAATCATGCAATTAGGTTTTAGAGAACATTCACACATTCACACTCACATCAGTTCACACTTAAGTATATTATTTTAAAGCATGTTATTTCTGTATTATGTACTATTTTTAAAAAGTATGCTAGAGTGTACATCTTTTTCACAAGGGTGCAAAATGACTGATGAATTTCTGCAAAATACTGCCAAGTTTGACTGGACATCCCTTACGAATATTAACCATGGTATATATATATATATATATATAAGAAAAACATTTATTTTAATATTAGTGTTGTACATGTATCTTGTAAAAGGACATTAGGTTATATTCTGTGCAGGCTTAGTTGTCCTTATGAGAAAGCAAAATCGGTTGAGAGCCAAATTGATTCTCTAGCACTAATCAGATCCTGCGTCTCTAACCAACACAAGGGCTGATTACTAATTTATATGAAGAAAACACAGATGTGCTATAGAGCCGCAGGGGTCTGGTATGGCAGGGTGTAGCCATGGTGATAAAGAGTCATAGATAGAAGCAACTTTGTCATCCTCAGGGTGTTGTAATCACTCTCTTGTGAAGCTATAAATACAGAGCTCAGCCAAACTGATGCGCATTAAAAATGCCAATGAAAGAAAAAAAAAATCTGCCACGTTAATATACTCAATGTGTGTCGAATAAAACCAAGATTGCTCTGCTGGTAAACACGCAGGCACTCTCACACTCATGTTTATGCATAAATAAAGCAATGCGATGAAAAACAGGCTTAATAGGTGAAAAATGGAGCATCTAGCAAACATGATTGTATAATTAATCTCTTCTCTGCGGTCCAACAGTGTTCCAGCATCCCCAACCAAAGGAATTTCATTCGAATCAGCCAAATTATGTCTTTTCTCAAGTGTAATTATTTATTGACCCAACCAAGCAAAGAAAGAACAAAAGAAAGAGAGAAAAAACAAAACCAATACACAAAAATTAGTCTAGTTCAAATTATATAAAATACAATATATTCTACCATTCAGAAGATTGGTGTTTTTTTTTTATGTTTTTGAAAGAAGTATTTTTTAATGCTCACCAAGGATGCATTTATTTGATCACAAATACAATAATATTGTGAAATATTATTACAATTTAAAATAATTGTTTTCGGTTTTAATATATTTTAAAATGTAGTTTCTTGTCACATAGTGAGGTAGATATGTGGGGGCGTGTTAGAACGAGCCGTTTTAGGTAGGCGTGGTTAACTCTTAACTTTTATAAAGAATATCTCTTTGGTTTTGAGACTTTAGTGTTTGCAACTTTACAGATCTTCTTTATGCACCAAGAGCTTGTAACACTCCAAAGAGAAAGGAAAAATTGAAATCGCATCATATGACCCCTTTAAGCAGCCATTATTCCAGTCTTTACTGTCACATGTTTGTTCAGAAATCATTCTAATTTGCTGCTCAAGAAACATTTCTTATTATTATCAATGTTGATCTTACAGACCCCAAACTTTTGAATGAGAGTCTATAACTTCTTAAACATAACATACTGTAACATCACTTGATATAACCATATTTTGCTTAATGTTTGATTCTGTATCTTACTAAATGTCTCTGGTTGTCCAAATGTATTATGAAATACATTATTTATTCTGGGTGGATGTATGATTTTGTTTTACAATTTTTGGTAACACTTTAGCATAGGGACCAATTCTCATTATTAACTTGCTTATTAGCATGCCTACTAATAACATGTTGGCTGTTTATTAGTACTTATAAAGCCATGACCATGTAGAAAATGACCATATTCTACATCCCTAATCCTACCCAGTACCTAAACTTAACAACTACCTTACTAAATATTAATAAGCAGCAAATTAGGAGTTTAATGATGAAAAATTCGTAGTTAACGGTAAAAAATGACCGTGAATTTAACGGTAAAAGACTGTAAAAATGCTACAGTAAAAACCTGTTAAATGGTTAACGGTAAATTCCCCTACTATATACGGTGAAAAACTGTATTGGACATTACATGTATTGGACATAAATTTTACGGTAGTATACCGTTTTTGGAAGTGAAAAAAAACGTATAATTTACAGTGAATAACCGCAAATTGACATTCCCAGAATTCCCTGCATTACATTTCAAATTTGATGTTTTTTGGTTGAAATAACTGTTTCTTCTTAGTTTTTTCTTATCAGTTTTGTATATTAGGGTTGTGTGTTACACCTAATGTTGTTAAATGAATGTTTATTGCATTATTTCAGTTTCATGTGTGTTACCATGATGGTGTTTGGTGTTTGTGTGAATGACAC